ATTTTTGATCTAATACAAACCATAACAAACATCGTTGATCCTTCAACATTTTGATAAAGAAATGGTAGATCCTTGATTATCTGTTTCCTGATTTTGTCTATGTCTTACATGAGTATGCAATTTGTATTCAAAGGCATTGCAACAGGTATTGAGATCTTCCTTTTCTATCTTCAATTTATCTCTTTATAGAGTGCTTTCAATGTACTTGGTCTCGTTGACCCTAATGCATACTCTTTCTTTATGTTACTTTCAATGTAGATCTCTAATAAAAACTTAGCTGGTCATATCAGATACTGAACAAATATAGCGTATAGTGTTTTGTATTGCCTTAATTCTCTTAACCGCAATAGCAGATCTTCTATATTGACTGCAATGTACAGTATACCATCTTTACATTCAAACATGAGTGTGCTCTCTTTGACGCCTTGTTTACTCAGAAAACTACAGTGGAACTTGTCTAAAACAATACAGTACTGTCTGATGCAAAAAAAAACTCCGTAATACAATATCAGCATCCGGTCCCAACTTTGAGCCAATACTTAATTCAATAAAATGCTCTAATCTAATATTCAATAACTTTATGTGGTGCCAAAAATTTTGTAAGTCAATACACCCTACAAAACACAAAATAAAAAGCTATACAATCGTTGCAAACCTCCTTAAACTAGCTGAAAGTCATGAATGCTCTTTTGTGGCATTTGACGGGATCTAAACATCTTGATCTTTTCTTGCATGCGCCTCAACAAGATAAACACTGTATCATCACCGTCGTGTTGGAGCCCGAAAGTCTTAAGAGACTGCAGCATGTTTCTGGCTTCATTAGTCGACACTAGAGCGACTTCTTGACTGCCGTCCAATTCGTTAGCATCATCAGCAAACATACTTCTTTATTTATACAGTGATAAGAATAGGTATACAATGGCACAGTGGAGTGGATGAGCGTGCCTAAATCAATAACCTCTCTTATTTGATAACGACCCCCATCTTTACACTATTGTTTTAGGTAGCAGCTAGTTATACCTCATCCTACTAGATCCTAGAAGCTAAAAAAGTATTTTTTTCAACAGCAATTTGAAAGATTGTAAGCATAAGGTATAGTCACTTAGAGTTTTTTTTGGTGAAATCTCCATTTGAAATAGTTGTACGGAGATATAATAGGTCTATTTTCCAATCATTTTTAACTTCTAAAGCTAATACCATTTTGATTGAGCCATACTTTGCTATTGGAGCATAAGTTTCATGATAAATGATACTTGTTTTAAACTATACCCTTTGGCCATTAATCTCGCCTTGTACGTGAGAATCTCCCTAGTGCCTCCTCTATTTAATTAAGAAAATCCACGTGAATCTAATAATATTTCTTTAAGTGAAACATGTATCATTTTCTATGAAAAATTCTTTGAAATTATGAATCTTTTCTTGTATGGCTTGCTCCCACTTCTTATAATTTAGTCTATCAGCTATTTGAGCATAAAAAGAAGTTTCATCATACTTCAATTTAGATACAGCTTTATCTATTGTAATATCATTCAACATCGAGAAATGGGCAGCCTTTGTCATAATCCCCAAATTTTGTCTTTGAGATTCTAACTTTTTGACCTTCTAGAAACTACTTCTTTAGCTTGTCCAAACTCTTCGATAAGTTCTAATTTTATTCTTTGAGATTTTAATTCTTGAAACCTTCTAGGAAACCTTTTGACGTTTTATTTGCTTTGCATGATCACTCAAATAGACATGACCAAGAGATGAAGCTAAATCTTGATCAAGTATCCGCTTCTTCTGAATTATTCATCTTTCTCTAGTATTTATGATGCTAATTATTACTTTAACTTTTAGACTGAAAAATCTCTGACTTTTTTGGTTTTTTGAAAAACTTATGATTTAGATGATGATATTTCTTTATCATCACCACTACAAGGAATTGGTAATTTAACATGTACTTTAAGAATTAAGGCAATTGTTACAGATTTTTTAATGCTAGATCTTTTATCATTTACCCAAGTCATTTACTCTTCAAAACCTACATCTCTACTCCAAATTTTTCTGTTGGTATGTAGGGTGAACAGAACATACACTTTCAATACTTCTTTATAACCAATGAATATGAATGTTGAACCTTTCATCCTTAATTTTTTCTTTTGCTTCTTGGATATGTTAGCCTAAGCTTGAATTCTCAACATCATAAGATCAGGTTTTTTTATATGTTCTCGCTTAAGCTTATGTGATATCCCTCAACCTTCAAGAAGAGCTCTTGGTTTCAATGTAGTTAGCCATCTTCAAAGCTACTTCATAAAATTGTATCTAGAAACTAGTATGAGCTATCATGCTCATAGCTTTGTCCTTAGGATTCATATTCAATATTTTTGCAACGTTCCTATATGATGTACTACTTCCACCTATCGCATCCATCAAAATCTTCCATATATCATCAGGCTCGTGATTTATGTATTTTGTGACTCCATTTGACATGATTTTTTTTCCTTTCTTGTTTGAGTCCTAACTATGTTTACAAAGACTTTGAATCTTACCAATAACTCATATTTGTGTTTCAGCAAGTAAACAAACCTCTTTTAACCTTTGTCTTTATTGAGATTAAGGTAACACTCTCCACTTTGTATACTTTTTTGTATGCTTTGTATGCACCACCTGTAAGCCATTGGACCACAAATGTCTGAAAGTACGAGTTCCAACGTTTCTCCTTATCTATTTGATGATTTTTTATAAAATATAATATTTTGTGACTTACCGATAGTACGAAGCTCACGTAATTGTAACGATTATCTGGAGAACTTCACACCTTCCATCACTCTTCCAAGATTCTCAATGTTAGGTTCATAAAGATGTCCCCATCTTCTATACCACAACCTCATTGAATGGTCGTATGCAAGGTAAACATGTGCTGATGTTTGGTACTTCACTCCCAATAGCTTAAAAAAGTATCAATCAGGTACTCCATAGCCTATAACTCTTTCATCTTTTTCTATGGTACAAACATGTTTTCAACAATGCACATAAATTCCAGTTTAAGTAGGTTTGCTCATTGATATCAGATCTCTAACTAAATGAAGTTCATACTTGACTTTTTGCACTATTGTAGAGTGATAGTATTCCTTGTTCACTCCTCCAACAAATTGCAAAAAAATTTTCTTTGTTTACCAAGGATTGATGTGTTCCTTCATTTTCATTTTCTACGTAATCCAACATCTTTTTATTACTTGAAGATTCTTCAACAAAAACTGCATTCTCTTCGTTATTTATCCTCAATCTTGAAAGAATTAAAATCACCTTTCTTCTTGCTTTATCACTTTAGGCACAAAAAACTCATATGTTCTTTTTCACCACACTTGTAGCAATTCCAATGTTCTTTGACCTTTGCTGACCGACTTTCTTTATCTGTATACTGCTTGTGAGTAGTAGCCATATCAGCTTCCTTGTCTTCCCTTCACACCTTATAGCAAATGTAACTATCTTGTTGTGCGTATCATTCCATGTTACTTGGTTTCAATTGAAAGCATCAAGAGAAAAAATAAGAGGCTCGAACTTCTGAGGAAAACTACTTAGGTGATGCGCAACCTTAAAATGAGTATGAACGGTTGTGCCTGATGCACAAAACTTTAACAAACAGAGCTTCAACTTGGCCATATGTGCAATTACACTACCAACATCTTCATCTTCAAACTAAAAGTCTTTGTCCATTTCAGCCTAGCATCAGCGAAGATACCAATCTTTGTTACAACTTTCAACATGGCCCAAATATCTCAAGCACATGAGATATCTGCTACCAGGTCCTTGTTGAACTGATCCAAAGTTCTCCTTATTAACCTCTTGGTCTTCATGTGTTGTTAAATGATCTTCTCATTTCAATACACTCCTCAATGTCTGCAAGCTTTTGACAAGAACTTCTAACAGCCATAAAATCTCAAACTCTCTTCAATCTCAATTGCCCATTCCTTGTAATTCTGGGTTTTAAGTTTCATAATCCTATCAAGCTCACCAGCCCAGTGAGGGACCATAACCTTTCGATATTCAGAAGTATACTGAACAAAACTTGATTGGATGGCACATAAGCTGTTACACTAGCTCTCAAGTTACCCTCGGATGTCGTCGTCTCAACAGCATAACTTATTGTAAAAAAATGACTTTCCCTTGGATGTGCAAGGAATATATAAATCTGCGGCTCATACTTGGAGCTACTCTTAAAGAACCTAAAACTTAAGATTAATGGAGGCTGCTAATTTTAAGGTGGCCGCTGATACTAAATTATAGTTTTAAGTAACACATAGAGGAAGAAAAATTTCTTTACACTGCTATTTTCATCATGTATTTATCGTGATGATACTACTGAAATTCAATAGCTAGGTTTCAACAGAATGATTGATTGCTTAATTATCTTCCCCAAGTTCTCGGGTAAGGCTTCACGTTTTTACTGTTTATTGTTTTATCTGGCCTTGTGGTGGTGGTTTAGGAGATTTTGTTTCATACAATCTTTGGTGCTTCTATATCTTAGGAAAAAAAAAGGAGAAAAGGAAACTGTATCAGATATGCGGTATGCACAACGAAGTAGAGAATCGTATGGTAATGCAGTGTGGTACACACTGGGGTTTGATAATAGGAAGAACAGGAAGGCGAAGTCAGTTCCTTCACCAATTTCAGAAACGCTGGGGGTTATCCAGCCTACCAACAGAGGTACTGCTTTACGGATTTACAAATCTGGTCAACTCCAGCATACGATCGAAGTGCTTTTTATGGTAACACTTCGAAAGGCAGTACTGTACATTGTAGCTTCCATCAATTCGAATGCCGGATGAACCCTTCCGACGATTCCCTACAGAAAGAGGCAATTGAAAGCCTTCAGCGTTTGATTGCATGAAGGATGAAGTGAATGAAGTCCAGAGACGTCACGTAAAGTTAGAGGATACACCAATTCGCTAGCAGTAAAAAATATGCACATTTTCAAAACCAGCTGAGAGTAAGGGAATGCGCACACTGAAAAGCAGTGCTGGGAACTTTAATTTCCATTTATAGGATCATTTATCGATACGCTTTACCTTTTCTGTAGCAAGCTGCCAAACATCGCAAATAAAGTCCATATATGGGATTGAGAAGGGATATGTCAGACTGTGCGGACAAGTCTACTCCTGTGGGTGCGTCCTGTTCAAAAAGGTCTATTGTTGCACGAGATCATTGGTCACAGCTTTACATCAATCGGCGGTAAAACATTCCCAGTTCAAAAGCTACATGCTACTTCTACGTCATCCTCTCAATAAGCAGCAAAGTTTATCACGTAGCTAATCTCTACTTCTCATTGACATCTACTTTTTCTTCTCACATCAGAAAGAGTCACAGACCTATATACACCTTAATTATGGCCACACCCCAATGAAGAAAAGCTGTATAATGTTCCACATAGATTGTCATAGCCATGAGTTGTGGATTCACTAAATTACAAGCTTATCACTTGACAGGGCTCGGCTGCAATCTGCCTAATGCCTAATTCATGTATCAAGTTTCTCACTAAAAGCACATAAATGCCGAGTACTTTTGATGCTGTCGTTTAGACATATGAATGTGCTAAGGTAAACTCGTTGAGTTGACGTAGGACAAAACGCACATAGTTGACGCCAGCAACTGATAGTGGTGACTAATGATCTCCCTCTGTTCGTCACGAAATTCAGGCAAGCTCATGCACAGAGTCATCATCTGGTTGTGGTGATCAAGAAGCTTGCACAGTCGATAATTGAAATCTTGCAGACTAATTGATGGAGTCAAAAGCTTAAAGTAATCCAAGTAGATCGATCTCGTTCGGCGAAGAACGTAAGCGGGTACACTTGAAGGGCGGACAAGCATGTGTTTGTAATTTTTCCTACGTCCCCTATGAGAATTGCACTTGTTAGTGCTGAAATGTGACTTTGCAATCGTCATCAGCTTTCCTCCAATATAAGGAGTTCGCCTCGAAGGAACACCCGAGAAGCTGCTCGTCCTTGGTTGTTGACTCAATGTGTGCTTCAAGCTGGAAACCACCGGCTGTCAAATTGCGTAACGAGTCAATCAGTTCAATACTCTTCCTTGAGAGAATATACAGGACAATGCGGACCTTTTCTATGTCACTCATTGTACATGTTCAGCTCAATTTTCCAAATCTCACCACAAGATAAGTGCGAATCCTTACCTGGCCAAGATACAATGCTCTTGGTGATTGCTGTAATCTGAAGATAAACTGAAGAAAAGGCGCGGTTGACTGCTGGCTCGTCAAATCAAATAGTTGTGGAGAATATGTCTTAAAATATGATGCTTGCACCTGAGTATATGGAAGTTGATCCTTAACTCCGACCTGGAAAATACTGCGAAGACACTATCTTAAAGTCCTGCAATGACGTGCCCAGTTCTACCAAAACCCGCATTGAAAAAACGTTCCCTGTCTCTTCAATCCTGGGATCTTTACTAACCAACATTGACTGCAGCACGCTGAGCTTCGCGAGTTTCCTTCTTGTCAGATCTTCACGCCTGTCCTATCGATGACTGCGTGCTAGTGTTCCAAGCTCCCGGCTCTCAACAGAGAAACGACGAGGGCTTAACGCCTCTCACTCGCACTTCATCGGCAATGTTAGCACACAGTACATGTACGTTTAAGACATAAAGCTCAGTGCGGTTTTTGCTCCCTCTGAAATCCATGCTTTGCACCCGTTTCATCGGCACGACACACTGCGTGCACGTTTCAGGTGCGTATCGAAGTGTGCACCACCAAGAACAGTTTTAGTACGCCAAGAATTTGCCCCATGGGGGCGCAAGCAAACATGTCGCTGACTTCTTTCCTACCTCTTCCTCCCTTCACCGGCTCCCACTTCCCCGCCCACTCGGATACTCGAACATTCCTAGTGCTCCTCGGGTGGATGTCGTGTGGTCATTTTGGAGACGCCAACTAGCCTAATATGGGAGCATGCAAGGGCGATGGGCGATGGGTAGGGGGTGGGATGCGGGATCTTCCTTCAGAGTATGGAACGGCAGGTGTAATTAATTGGAGACAGTACGAGTCACTCTGCCAGTACCCAAGGGAGATGCGATCGGGGCCCATGTGTGCCGGGGCATGGGTGTTCTCAGCACGTGGCAGCGGGCCACTCACATCGAGCTACTGCCTCCTGAACATCCACCGTATTCTGATGAAGATCCACGTGAATCTCACGTGTTGCCCGTTGCTCAGCATCTCTTCTCCTCGTTCGTCACCACGTGTGACGTTCTCAGCACTCTACAACAGCGCCTCAACTCCTCTTGCAGCGATCATCGATGCACTTGAAATGCCATCCCGCCGGTGCAGACTTTTGCTTCAGACCGTTAGGTGTCCATACGACGTCACGCTCAGAACGCTTGACTGCCTTGACTTACACGAATGGAAAATTGCCATCGAATCGAATCAATTGAAATGATTTGACCTTGACCTCACCGTCCCCACCTTGTCGCCCAACCTCTACCCGATCCAATCCCGCGACCCGCCTCCTTAATAACGTCCAGATCCAGATTGTATGTACTCGCTTTCCTTCGCACTGTAGACTTAGGACTTCGGCAACTCGCTCGCAAATGTACATGTGACACATTGACGTAAACACATACCAGCCGCATCGGCGGACTCTCAAGTTTAATTAAATGATATGATAAATCAGATCTATCCCACTTGGATTCTTCCTAACTACTTACGATCCACATTTAAAGTAATATCCATGGCAATGCTCTTCGTATATACCAAAATTGCATGAATTCTTGTCATTCATTTTACTTTACTTGTCCAATTTTTCCCTCAGATTATACAAGAAAATTACAACGTGTTAACTACATGTTTTTGAACTATACATTCAAGTTGCGTGAATTGAATGTATGAATGAGTGGTATATATTTGTGTTGTACTATCTTCATATAAAAGATCATGTACAATTAAACGTACTATGTATAAACTTAATTGTCCAGATTACATTTGTAGATTTGATAAGGGTAATATTAAATTTCATAACTACATGTGGATTACAAAAGTGAAATCTCATGTCCATTAACTAGTTAGACATCTAGGTCATCACATGAAATGACTATTGTAAGGTTAAAAGAATAACTTTATGTTTTATATTTGATATCAAATCCAAACTTCATGTGGAACTTAAATTGAAGAAATACATAGATATGTGATTCGTATTTAGTATGGTTATGTTCAGAATAAATACATACATATGTGATTAGTTTTATAATGGTTATGTTGACTCAATCAGAATGACATCTTAAGTATGGATCTATCCCTTTGTAACAAAATGAACAACAAAATTCAGATGTGTTTTAGAAAGCTTTTGCATTTATTTTATATAGCGGTATCTATCCTAGTCTACCTACACATAGTCAAATTAATTCAAGTCCATCAAGACAAGGTATCATTTATGCTAGCTTCCACAAATTGCAACTTGTGAAATAATGTATAATCAAAACTTTGATAATCAACTAGAAAAAAAATATTTGCACAAAGTAGACAAGTTTTATAAGCAATATAAATGTCTTAAAAAATTTGTTTTGACAAAAATTTCCTTATTTCAAGAAGCAAAAATATGTAAGGCCCAACAATCTAGATAGATCAGCATACACGACAATCACAACATCAAAACGTGGTTCAACTTCCACAAGCTACATCCACGGGCAAGAGTAGAAACTTCACTTCACACAGCCTTCATTGCCAAACTCTACTCCTTCTTGCTCATTCTCAAAGTGCAATTTTGAATTGTACATAGTGAATGACTCTTTCTCTCTTCTATACAAGAAGAAATAAGGTGCACATCATAGCTAACCTAACCACAAATAACTTCCGTAATCAAGATTATTGCTAATTGAAATTAATCCAAGATAGAGTTAGTTTAACAAAATACTAAGTATTATGCTTACATAAAAAAAATTTGTTATGTATATATATATATTGTGTCAAATGTTACATACATTTTATAACAAAATTGATTATTTAATATTAATATCAAATCAATTTTTGAATAAAACCATGGTTAACCTAATTTGAGTTAGAATTATATTTAGAGCTAAAGATTTTGCTATTTTATAAATATATAATGACAAGTATTAACTTATTTTGAACAATTTGCAAATTTTTTCAATGAAAATCTTGTTGTTTTTATAAACATAGCCAGAATATGGTAAGCCACGTTCAGATTCAAAATGCAAATTTTTATGTTCATGGAATTTGATATTTGGTAAAATAATTGGTATCAAAGCAAATGTTGGTTGTGGTAGAAGCGATGTTAAGAAAGATGCAAAAAATAATAATCATGAAGTCATATAATTTGAGTAGATACTTGGATCAAAGAACTTTGCAAACAAAATATGGCTACAAAATACAACGTTGTTTGTTGCTACATATATGTGAAGGAAGTCTGCAAAACAAAAAGCGCCACCGTATGCTAGAGTGCAAATCAAAGCATCATTTTTTATATATGTATTAAGATTGCAAAAAAGCTTGCTTGAAAGAGAGCACAACATTGGATTCATCTTTAAATCTCAATATAATTGTCAAAATTTAGTCCACGGCAATTATTTCTTTCAATGAAAGAAGGAAAAAAATGTTAGTGATAGTGCATTGTCAAAGTTTAGGATATATGATGAGAGTGAGAATTTTTGACATTCAAGAATTACTAAGGTTTACAATTGCTTCCATTGGCAGATTATTTAACACATCAAGTTTTTTCATTGCGTGATCATTATTTGAGTAAACATCTCGGAATTTCCTGACTGAATTTCACTGTGTATTTATCACATTCTTATCAATTGCTGTTGAATTGTACAACCACAACATCAACGACAACAGCGCATCTATTTTTTGTTTTCTGCGAGCTTGATTGAAAGTTATTGTGTGTTTTATAACATGCAATGAGCGAACGAGAACAGGGCAGGAGAGAGTCCCGAGTGGCAAGACACTAATCATAAGATCGACGACCAAGCAAAGTGAAGTAGGCCATTGCTCCGGTGTACATTATTGCCAACATACAAAACTCTCAAAACAAAGTCAATGCTTCATCTACCAAGAAAGTTAGTGCCAGTCTAGACAAAAACTCAAACAAATTTTTGAATATGATCAAAATTATCAAGACTAAGTCCTCTAACATTTTGATTGAAGAACAAACACATGTATAGTAGGCAACTAAAGTACATGAAGCACTGTTATCAACAACAAAGGTTCATCATTCTCATTCTATAATATATTTTGATGCACCGGAAGCATGAAGAAATGACCCACACCTCCAACTCCAACATCTATGTCTAATATCAAAATTTTTTAAACATCAATAGCGTCAAAGACTGGAAAATATCAAACATTTTTGGAAATAGGTTTTTCATCAGTACAAACATCACATAGAAAGCAAGAATAAGTACTAATATAACTAGATTGACAAGAAAAAAGTACAAAGGATTGAGTACCGTCAACGATGGTTGTTAATCGTTGGACTATTCTACTCAACATAATATATCACCTTCAATTGAACGTTTTGTTTTAAAAATATTTAATCCGTGATATCAGAGATGAACGAGAATTGTTTGAATAAAAAGTTCTCTTTTTCATGGAAAAAAAATAAGTCTTTATTCAAACAATATCAATTACAACTTCAAGTGTTTGATATAACAAGATGGCAATCACAAAGTCTAAGTAAATATGATACAAAATAGTCAAATATGACGTCCATGATGATTATCTGCTCTAGAATAAAGAAGTGTAGGGCAAGCTGAAGATTTTGGATTTAAACAAGATGCTAAGGTCAAAATCATCCACATACAACAACAATTGTGGAAAAACATCCAATATTTGACAAAGAGTAAAGTCATATTTTATTTGCAACCTTTGATTCTCTGGCAAATAGATGAATATGACAAGTGTATAATATTTTTTAAGTTTTTGAGCAACGTTTTTATTGCAAAGAGCTATAAAATATGTTATATGTCTCCTTAAAGCTGATGAGCTTCAACATCAAAGATTCTGAAACAAAAATCATATATCATATCAATGCATTTGATGATCTTGTAATTGTCTACAAAATTTTAGATAGTAGATCATTGATGAGAGAAAAATTCTTCTTCTTCTAAATTCACCCTCTCATCTTACCAATCATTATTTTTTGTGTTGCTTCATTCTTATAGACATAGAAGCATTTACAATGAAGTTGTAAGTGCTTTGTTGATGAATGACCTACAGTAAGACAATTGTTGAGAGTGATATATAAATGTGGAAAAGACACATTTGTTTGAATGTCACAAAGATGCAACTTCAACTATTTGATTGAACAAGATGACGACCACAAAGTCTCGCATAGACAAAAATGAAAATGTCAAGTACAATGAATGTGGTGACTATTTGCTCTAGGAGAGACAATTCAAAGATAAGGTAAATACTGTAAATATAATCAAAAAGTAAAGCCAAAATTTTCATTTACAACAACAAAGATTGAAAGAATTTTTGTAAACATAGTCATTTTATATTTATAACATTCTGTTTCTAGAACAATTACATGAGTATGATCATTGTACTTTACTATTTGAGTCTCTTGAGCAACAATTTTATCACAAAAGCTGCAAGTGCTATGTAAACTAATGATTTATAATAGAATTTGAAGTTGGTGCTTCCATCAATTTATTTTTTAAACATAGCGCTGAATGTGATTTAAACTTGATCATTTTTAAAAAAGTGAAAAAATGACAACTATGTTAGATTTAAATTTAAACATAAATTAAGAAACAAAAATTGAAAACAACAATGAAATATTGAAAATATTGGAAATGTGACAAGAAGGTCAAGTAAAAAATACTGACATCAAGGATGTTAATGCTAGTCTAATCAATGTGTCTCAAAAATTTTATGCTTATAGTATGCTATGCTCAAAAATGATTTATGATGCTTGAAGATATGAATTTTAAAATTCACAAAAAATGGAGATATTTGCTTGATGGAAATCCATCCAAACGTAAATTGCTTGATGGAACCCATCAACTCAATTTACCTGATGGGACCCCACAGACGGTGTGCCGTCGCTGATTCTAGTAGGTGTTCTAGTATGGATATGTTCTAGGTTGTGTATGTATGTATGGTCTACTTATATGCAGAATCAACAGCCATTCCACATATGTACATGTATTTGTATGCACCTGGAAGGAGGGACACGATGTTACTATCCATCAAAGCTATCAAATCAACAGCCCCAACAATTTTTTTTTCAATTTTGTCCTCGAGAAAATACATCGTAACTGATGTTCAGATGTTCTGCTCATTTGAAATTAACAACTAGTTAGTTCAGCTCTCCTGGTTTTGGAATCCATTGTAGTGTTTCGGAATTCAATCTGATCCAATGGTTTGGAGATCTCGAGTTGAATAGAAGTGGGTGTGTAATAACCCACTAAAGGCTAAAACTGCAATATAGTGGTAGAAAGGTCGAACCCACAGGGACAGAGGAACACACAGGGTATAAAGTGTCACGTTTTAACAGACTATTGATGAGTTTGAATTCTCAGGCGACTGTCACTCCCAGAAATACTGCAAGTGT